GTGCAGAGGAGTGAGTGATAATGCCAGCGGCAGCGGCAGCCGCGGCAGCAGCTGTGTCAGCGGCAGCGGCAGCGCAGGCGGGGTGGTGGGTGGAAGCTGCAGGGCGGGCACCAAAGGACCGTACCGTACCTGAGCATACCTGCTTACACATGATGCCGCCGTTACCTCAACACACCTAGGGAATGGTCCAATGGTGCCGCCGGTGCGAGCTGGAGGAGGAGGAACGAGTGGCGCGAGGAGGAGGACGCGGATATGAGGGCGGAAGCGAGCTAGAGCGAATGAGTGCCAACAGGTGCGTGAATAAACGAGACATCTTAGCCTTATTCAGAAGGCAGGGGTCGAGGCAGCGGCGCCTGTTCCTCCTCGCCTCAGCCGTCGCTCCGTCCGCCTCTGTCCTCCTCGACGCTTCCGCAGTTTGCCGCTCACCAGCTCCCTTGAGTGCGCCATGCAGGTGCAGCAGGTGCAGCAGTCTTTTCCTCAGGCTCAGGCTCAGGTGCAGTAGGAGCAGCAGGCCTTGGACCTGCACAGGTCAAACCGGACAGCATTAGTACCTGAACATTCACTGAATGCAAACAAAATAGAAGAAAGTGAAGAAACATCACTCAAGATTTCAACATGCAAAGTGATGAGACATTGCCTCAACTTACCATGGAGGAATGCCTCGTAAAGTAATTCACGAGCTTTGATGGACGCCGTCCGTGCATCAGCTGCGCCTCCTCGCCAGCAGCGTCGTCGCCGTCCTTTTTGCACACGGTCGCACGCAGCAAGTCGTCGTCGCGCGCACGGTCGCACGCAGCAAGTCGTCGTCGCGCGCACGGTCGCACGCAGCAAGTCGTCGTCGCGCGCACGGTCGCACGAAGCAAGTCGTCGTCGCGCGCACGGTCGCACGCAGCAAGTCGTCGTCGCGCGCACGGTCGCACGAAGCAAGTCGCCGTTCCGCACAGGGTCGCACGCAGCAAGTCGCCGTTTCGCACACGGTCGCACGCAGCAAGTCGCCGTTCCGCACACGGTCGCACGCAGCAAGTCGTCGTTCCGCACAGGTCGCATGTAGCAAGTCGCCGTTCCGCACACGGTCGCACGCAGCAAGTCGCCGTTCCGCACACGGTCGCACGCAGCAAGTCGCCGTCGCGCAGAGGGTCTCTGATTCCGCACGCACGCTCTCTGATTCCGCTCGTCGATTCTCCGCTCGTTCCCCTCCTCGTCAGCAAAGTCGCCTTTCGTTAGCAGCTCGTCGCTGCTAACGTCGCTGCTAACAGCTCGTCGCTCGCCCGCTTCATCACATGACACGAATAAGAAGACGGATCCGTGAAATCTCCGTGATATAGTTTGTCTATGATGCGACGAAGAATACGGCCGGAAATCCATAGCTGAGGCTCCAACCAGAAGAGCATCAGGATGTGTCGATGATGAAGCCGTAGGGATGAAGCCGTACGGAGCATCCCGGAATTAAATCAAAAAGTCGTTGGGAGCATTGCTTCACGAGCTGTCGCTCGTCCGTCGTCGCTTGACCGTCGTGGCTTGTCCGTCGTCGCCTGTCCGTCGTCGCTCGGTTGAAGCAGAAACACCCCGCGCGACACCCGAGCTGCTGATGATGCCACGAAGGTAGCTGCCGTCGCGGATTCTGCCAACATCATTGACTGACAAAAGCCGTCCATTGCTAACCCTAACAGTTCACTAAAAGATGTTGACGATTAAGGCTGAAGTAGTGGCGTAAGATCCGTAGGGATCCAAACGCTATTGACAGAATACTGAGATATGAGCCTCCAGGGTGAATCTAACCGTCGAGCTGTTCAGGCTGAATAACAGCGAAAGGGAACTCCATTACATGTCGAACTAAACCACCGTGACAAACACTATCAGTGCCGTTGTGTAACGAAAGGAATTACTCCATGTAGGCGGGAGCCATAGCGGCCTGGAGTAGGAATTACCCCACATAGTTCATGGAATTCATGGCGGCCTGGAGTTGGAAGTTGGCATGATGAGTGCGGGAGAAAGCGAGTGGAAGGGCCTTGGTCTGGGAGGAATGTGGGATAGTCACTCGGTCGGGAGAGGTGCCTGATTCTGGCTGGATGCGGATGGAGGTGGTGCTGCTGACTCGAGGGTGTGACCAGGGTCAACCCAAAGTGGTGGCTCTCGCTGGGTTGGGGGGTGGTGCTGGCTCGAGGGTGACGTCCCGCCACCAGCGCCAAACCAAAGTGGTGTCAGTGGGTGGGGAAGGATTGCGCCAGGCGGCGCGCGGGTGGCAGAAAGTGGCGGGGGGGAGATGAGGGACAGCGCTTAAATCTGTGGTTTATGGGCAGATGTCTCCGGATTTAGAGTCTGGAGTCCAAGCGCTGGGGTTTGCCAAAAACGGCTGGAAAATGGCATTAACCAGGGTGTTCTCTCGCTTCGCACCACTTTTACGTCGGCTATTTCAACCCTGGAACGCGTGAAAAACATTCTGCCCACGGCATGCGCATAGGGATTTAACATCAGCGGAGCGCGGATTGCAGTGACGGGCCCGCGCGCCAGATGAATCTCCGCGCCAATTTTCAGTGCGGAACTGCCGCAGTAACCCTGCGCGCTGACTTCGGCGAATGATCAAGGTGAATGGCGGAGCTTCGGCGATTCTCAGACTCATCTTGTCTGGTGATGTAGATCGGACGGCTGACCACATGCGGTAGGCCCACCCTGGCCACTTTATCATGGACTGTAGAAAACATCAATCAAACAAAAACCATCACTAATACAAAGATACAAATGATTCTGTGTGCAATCGTTTAACATGGAGATGGATGGAATAGGATCTCTTTCAGAGTTCATAACAGTGTCAAAAATAAGAAATATGCCTTGTTTGGGATGTAGATGACCACTTATTTCACACCCTTTTTCATTTGGCAGAAAATGCGGTATTGTTGGTAATCAAATTTATTAATAAGTTTAAAATGTCTTGTGATTGAATTTTAAAACTTCCAGGTGCATTTGTTTCCTGACATTTTTTCCAGAACTATACAACTGTTATAAACTTAACCCATGTTTCGTTTCCTCACGACCACTAAATCGGTGTGTATTGTTGTATTGTAGTGAGATCGGCAGTAAAAACCATTTGACCGGTGATATGCCGAAACCGTCAGGTCCTGCACGCGCGACGTCGACTAGTTCCGTCGCACAAACGCGTTCTGGAAGGTTTGACGAATCACTCGAAGCCATGTGCATCATTCAAGATCATTGGGTAGACCGACCGAACCCCTCGCATACGTTCGTCCTGCCCTTGAACCTCGGACGCGGTCCGCCAGAGCCAAGGCCGAGCCTTGCAGCGGTGGTGGTTGGTTGAGGTGGTAGGTGAGCGGACCTTCCCGCCAAGTCGAACCTGCCTCTCAGCTGCTGCGCTTCAATGGTCGGAGCAGAAGCAAGGCGCTCTCTGATCCTTGGCTGGCAATGAGCGAGGGTGGGATGAATTTGCTTTCATAAAGCTGGAATCCCCTACAGCTGTTGTTCCATTCAGCTGACCAGTTTCCAGTTTCTCGAGCCGTTTCTTTCCTGTTAGCTTGGAGACCGGTTGCCTCCTCAGGTTGTCAACGACACGTTCGGAATGGTTAGTAATTTGATTATTTTCTAATTCTTAGAGGCTTCTTGCGTGTGATTGATCGTTTGAGTTCTCTGGTTAGAATCTGACAACGAGCGTGCACTTTGGTCTTGCAGACGACCTCCAAACGATTGGCTGAGAAGAAGAACTCTGCTTTTCACAAGAACATAACGAAACGAGGGAACGTGCCTGACAGTGTCACGAAACGGAGTGAGAAGTTCCCCGTCAGCGTCTGGGTTCTCGGTTCTTCATCTTCGTTGTCATCGGCTCGTGTAAGTGTTTGGTTACTAACGAACACGCTAGTGAATCGAACTTGACTCAACAATGGAGTAAGACTCTGATTTTGTTTCTTATTGGGCTGTGCAGCTCTTTTCCAAATAATTCGCAACGCTCAGTCGAGGGCGGTTGAGTAAGAAGTTTGGACGACTACTGATCTTCACCAAGGCTCGCTTCGTGGACATATTGCGAGACTATGTGCATTCTTTACCCTAAAGCCAGTTTAGTTCGCCCGCTCACTGTGGGTTGTGGTTTGTGCCGCCTCTTCTGTGCGTTTAGGATTCGGAAGGATTCACTCTAATTGGGTCGGATACTACATGTGACAACGATTCTGAGCTGATCGTTTTATGCTACGTTATCTTTCTGGAGTTTCAATGTCTTCCTGTTCTAAGGAAGTACTTACAACATAATTAAATCCGTGTCCGCACTCCGCCCATGTGCATAGCACTGTACGTCCGCACTCCGCCCATGTGCGACGGAATCTTCCTAAGTGGGTGGTATTACCTGTAGTAATGCTCTAGATCCAGTCGTATTGTCTCGTGATCTAAAATATTAGAATCAGCCATACCCAAAGCGACTATGTGGCGGAGTCCTTCCTTCACCCTAGCTAGAGATGAGTGATCTCTCAGTAGTGGCTTGGGGAAAAGGTTTTCCTGCTACCATTTGTCGTTAGAAACAAGCTGTAGTAGAAATTTGAAAGAATTACGAACAATGCATTCTACACGGCCCCATTTGTGACCTAAGCGAGGACCTGTATCCGATGGAGATCCCAAAGTAAGCATCACTCTTCGTATGACGCGGTTTCGTTCGGTCAAACACGTTTGAAAGCGGTCCAAGTCCGTTTCCACCTTAAAGCCCAAGACCTGAATTACTCAACGGAAGTCAACGCCAAAAAACTAGGTTCGGAAGGCAGCCAGAGGGAGGTTCGGTTGGGTTGCGAAACCCTTTCACTCGCGAAACCAGTTTGCGACAAAGTTGTGTCGCTTCAAAGAAGACTTGTGATGGATGGTGTGCCTCCCACAACAACCAGAGTTAGAGTGTGCCTACCAAACTGTGCACACTTCGACAACCCTAGCATGCAGACTAAAACTAGGCATAATATAGAAAACGTGTAGGCAGGGCGTGGCCGTTGACTCTAGAGGGATCAAGGCGCGATGCGATGGTGTAGGATGCGGAATGGGAGTTCGAAGCGTAAGGATATTGTGCGGCGTGCGATGAGATATGGTGTAGAATGCAGGGTTCGCATAACCCACACGTTCGGCCAAGCGTAACCATCCCCTCGCCCTCGCTTTCCTTTCCCCAGGTCCGACGCTTCCTCTGTCCGTCACCCTCGTCGTCGCCTTCGCTTCCGCAGCCCGTCGCATTCGCTTCCCCCGCCCGTCGCCACCTTCGCTTTCGGATGACCGTTGCCTTCTCTTATCCCGCCCGTCGCCTTCGCTTCTTCCCCCCCGTCGCCTTCGATTTCCCCGCGCGTCGCCTTCGCTTCCCCCGCGCGTTGCCTTCGCTTCCCCCGCGCGTCGCCTCACTTCCACCGCGCGTCGCCTCGCTTTCCCCGCGCGTCGCCTTCGCTTACGCGCCCGTCGCCTTCGCTCACCTCCTTCCGTCGCCTTCGTTCCCCCACTGCTCACGCCCTTACTCCCATGCTCACGCCCTTACTCCCATGCTCACGCCCTTACTCCCATGCTCACTCCCCTACTCCCATGCTCACGCCCTTACTCCCATGCTCACTCCCCTACTGCCATGCTCACGCCCTTACTCCCATGCTCACGCCCTTACTCCCATGCTCACGCCCTTACTCCCATGCTCACTCCCCTACTCCCATGCTCACGCCCTTACTCCCATGCTCACGCCCTTACTCCCATGCTCACGCCCTTACTCCCATGCTCACTCCCCTACTCCCATGCTCACTCCCCTACTCCCATGCTCACGCCCTTACTCCCATGCTCACTCCCCTACTGCCATGCTCACGCCCTTACTCCCATGCTCACTCCCCTACTCCCATGCTCACGCCCTTACTCCCATGCTCACTCCCCTACTCCCATGCTCACGCCCTTACTCCCATGCTCACGCCCTTACTCCCATGCTCACGCCCTTACTCCCATGCTCACGCCCTTACTCCCATGCTCACTCCCCTACTCCCATGCTCACGCCCTTACTCCCATGCTCACTCCCCTACTCCCATGCTCACTCCCCTACTCCCATGCTCACGCCCTTACTCCCATGCTCACTCCCCTACTGCCATGCTCACGCCCTTACTCCCATGCTCACTCCCCTACTCCCATGCTCACGCCCTTACTCCCATGCTCACTCCCCTACTCCCATGCTCACGCCCTTACTCCCATGCTCACGCCCTTACTCCCATGCTCACGCCCTTACTCCCATGCTCACGCCCTTACTCCCATGCTCACTCCCCTACTCCCATGCTCACGCCCTTACTCCCATGCTCACGCCCTTACTCCCATGCTCACTCCCCTACTCCCATGCTCACGCCCTTACTCCCATGCTCACTCCCCTACTGCCATGCTCACGCCCTTACTCCCATGCTCACGCCCTTACTCCCATGCTCACGCCCTTACTCCCATGCTCACTCCCCTACTCCCATGCTCACGCCCTTACTCCCATGCTCACGCCCTTACTCCCATGCTCACGCCCTTACTCCCATGCTCACTCCCCTACTCCCATGCTCACTCCCCTACTCCCATGCTCACGCCCTTATTCCCATGCTCACTCCCCTACTCCCAGGCTCACGCCCTTACTCCCATGCTCACTCCCCTACTCCCATGCTCACGCCCTTACTCCCATGCTCACTCCCCTACTCCCATGCTCACGCCCTTACTCCCATGCTCACGCCCTTACTCCCATGCTCACGCCCTTACTCCCATGCTCACTCCCCTACTCCCATGCTCACGCCCTTACTCCCATGCTCACTCCCCTACTGCCATGCTCACGCCCTTACTCCCATGCTCACGCCCTTACTCCCATGCTCACGCCCTTACTCCCATGCTCACTCCCCTACTCCCATGCTCACGCCCTTACTCCCATGCTCACGCCCTTACTCCCATGCTCACGCCCTTACTCCCATGCTCACGCCCTTACTCCCATGCTCACGCCCTTACTCCCATGCTCACTCCCCTACTCCCATGCTCACGCCCTTACTCCCATGCTCACGCCCTTACTCCCATGCTCACGCCCTTACTCCCATGCTCACGCCCTTACTCCCATGCTCACTCCCCTACTCCCATGCTCACGCCCTTACTCCCATGCTCACTCCCCTACTGCCATGCTCACGCCCTTACTCCCATGCTCACTCCCCTACTCCCATGCTCACGCCCTTACTCCCATGCTCACTCCCCTACTCCCATGCTCACGCCCTTACTCCCATGCTCACGCCCTTACTCCCATGCTCACGCCCTTACTCCCATGCTCACTCCCCTACTCCCATGCTCACGCCCTTACTCCCATGCTCACGCCCTTACTCCCATGCTCACGCCCTTACTCCCATGCTCACGCCCTTACTCCCATGCTCACGCCCTTACTCCCATGCTCACTCTCTCCCCCTCTGCTCACTCTCTCCCCCTCTGCTCACTCTCTCCCCCTCTGCTCACTCTCTCCCCCTCTGCTCACTCTCTCCCCCTCTGCTCACTCTCTCCCCCTCTGCTCACTCTCTCCCCCTCTGCTCACTCTCTCCCCCTCTGCTCACTCTCTCCCCCTCTGCTCACTCTCTCCCCCTCTGCTCACTCTCTCCCCCTCTGCTCACTCTCTCTCCCCCTGCTCACTCTCTTTCCCCCTGGACTCACTTATCTTTCCCCCCTGTTTACTCTCTATTCCCCTTCGTTCAACCCTTTCTCCCCACAATCCCTCTCACCACCCCTGTTCACACCCCTTGTTCCCCTCTGCTCACTGGCTTTCCCCTTTGCTCACCCCCTTCTCCTGCCTGCTGACTATATTTCCCCTTTGCTCACCCCCTTCTCCTCTCTGCCCACTCTATTTCCCCCTTCGCTCACCCCTCTGCCCTGTTCACACCTCCCATACATGCCCTTCTGTACCTCCAACCTCCAGCCCTCGCTTATTCGCCATATCCCCTCTTCCCTCCCCATTCCATCGCATAACCATGCTTGTACATGTGCCCAGCACCATGGGTCCCAACAGGAGTGGGTTGAAAAGTTATCACCTCTTAGATTTGTGCTTGTGCCTATAGTCCACCCTTGGCAACCTTTATGGAAACGTAATTTGCTTTGTTGCACTTGCGGTGGTCATGTGCATTTATGCTCCGAATCACATAGTGGTGTATTATGAGAAGCATCCAACATCAGTATATGACGTAGCTAACAGCAAACACAACACAACAGGATGTATAGCAGACCTGCACAAACACGAACCACGAACTCTGATGTGTCAAAGTTGGAAGCAGCGGGGTTGGATATGAAACGACGACAATGGAAAGGCAAGAAGGCAGGGAACCATCCATGCACGGAGAACATGAGCTAGGGAGACACGGAGGAAGGGAAGAAAGGGGGGTGATATGAAGCGTGGGTGGAAAGGGGGGAGAGAGCGGGGAAAGGAACTGAGGCAGAGGATTGGGGGGAGAGAAATAGATGAAGAAAGGAAGGGGAAGTAGGAGGGGACGATATTGGGTGGGAGGAAGGGAGGATGAAAAGGAGGAAGGGAGGATGCCGGGCGGATGAGAGAAAGGGCGGATGAGAGGACATGGGGATGAGAGGACATGGGGATGAGAGGACATGGGGATGAGAGGACATGGGGATGAGAGGACATGGGGATGAGAGGACATGGGGATGAGAGGACATGGGGATGAGAGGACATGGGGATGAGAGGACATGGGGATGAGAGGACATGGGGATGAGAGGACATGTCAGAATCCTAGCCACTAACCACTGGGATAAAAGGGCTTGTTTGTGTAGCGGGTGAGTGCGCCCATAACCCCCCAGGCCAACGTGCCTGTAACCCTTCCCTAGGATCAATCGGGGATCACCAGTGGACCTCTGACACCCCCCCGCACTAGGATGCCCGAGGTGCACACACCGGGATTCGAACCCGAGACCTTCGCTCTGATACCATGTCAGAATCCCAGCCACTAACCACTGGGATAAAAGGGCTTGTTTGTGTAGCGGGTGAGTGCGCCCATAACCCCCCAGGCCAACGTGCCTGTAACCCTTCCCTAGGATCAATCGGGGATCACCAGTGGACCTCTGACACATGGGGATGAGAGGACATGGGGATGAGAGGACATGGGGATGAGAGGACATGGGGATGAGAGGACATGGGGATGAGAGGAAGGGTGGATGGGAGAAAGCGAAGGGGAAAAGAGGGAGAAAGAGAGGGACGAAGGAGGGAGGAAAGAGTGTGACCGGGTACAATGGGGAAGGTAAAAGGGTGAAACTGACACGCAGGGTTGGAGTGAGGAAGAGAGTAGGAGAGCGGGAGATGGAAAGAGGAAGGGGTCTAGATCGAGGGGGGATGAAAGAAATGTGAGAATGGTAGGAAGGGAGAACGGAAGGAAGGGAGGGAGGGAGGACGGGCGACAGAGAGGGGAAAGAGGGTAGTGAGGCAGAGAGTGTGGGAGAGATGGAGGAAGGGAGGAAGAGAGAGGGAGAGGACGACGACTGGGGGAACGAAGGAACGGAGTAAGGGAGGAGGGTAAGAGGTAAAAGTGCGGCAAGGTATAAGGGTGGAACGGGGGATAGGAGGATCCCTGCACCCTCTCTCTCTACCCCCCGCCTCCCCCGCTCCCTGCCCCGCCTCCCCCGCAACCCTGCCCCGCCTCCCCCGCTCCCTGCCCTGCCTCCCCCGCTCCCTTGCCCCGCCTCCCCCGCTCCCCTGCCCCGCCTCCCCCGCTCCCCTGCCCCGCCTCCCCCACTCCCCTGCCCAGCCTCCCCCGCTCCCCTGCCCAGCCTCCCCCGCTCCCTTGCCCCGCCTCCCCCCGCTCCCCTGCCCCGCCCCCTGCAGCATTGCGCTCCTTGCTGCCCGCCTGCACGCGCTGCCCCAGCTGTGCGCCCAGCACTCTGCTCCAAAGCCGCAGCAGCACCTGCCATGCGTGCGGAGAAGAGGGGGAACGTGATAGGCAGGGGAGTGATGGCGACGTGGAGAGAGGCGCGAGGGAAGGGAGGTCGGCGGTAAGGGAAATTTCCAGGCGACAGGGAGGGCGATGGGAGGGGAAGCGCGGGCGACGGTGGGGGAAAGCGTGGGCGACGGTGGGGGGAAGTGTGGGCGGCGGTGGGAGAAATCGTGGGCGGCGGTGGGAGAAATCGTGGGCGACGGTGGGAGAGATCGTGGGCGATGAGCGGCGATGCGTGAAGGTGGGGGAAGGCGCTCGCGACGGTAGGGGGAAGCTTGGGTGAAGGCAGGAGGAAGCGTGAGCGGCGGTAAGGGGAAGCGTGAGCGACGGTGGGGGAAAGCGTGAGCGACGATGAGGGAAAGCGTGGGCGTGTGCGTGGGGGGTATGCAAGAGACGGTTGGGGGAAGCGCGGGGGACGCGGAAGACGATAGGGCCAAATGCGATATTTGCGGAAGGGCGATGCCAGTGCGACCGAGTGCGGAAACGTGATATGGCCTCGCGTTGCTGTCATGCCGATAAGCTACGACCAGAAAAGTAGTCGAGGTCTCAATATCGGCCGTAGGATAGATTCGTCTGGAGTTCTAAGCCGTATGATGGCTAAGAATAAAGGCAGAAGTGCTCATGGGCTATGCTTTAGTGGCTTCTTTTTCTCTCTTCGCATGAGGAACTCGCATACTATGGACAAAAGCACGACCTGAATTACCATTTTTGCAAACTGGGCACATTTTGAGCCCTTGTTCTTGCGGGGGGGTGTGGTTGGGGCTCTCGCCAACCAAACCTCTTCTGCTCCACGACTCAGTGTTTTTTGGCGGGATGTTTTCTGGTAACCAGCTTGGCTCGGGAGGTCAACTCTGGGTTCGGTAGGCAAACTGTGCACAGTTTGCCTACTCCTTTTTGTAATTCAGGTCTTGGGCTTTAAACGATTGCACACAGAATCATTTGTATTTTTGTATTAGTGATGGTTTTTGTTTGATTGATGTTCTCTACAGTCCATGATAAAGTGGCCAGGGTGGGCCTACCGCATGTGGTCAGCCGTCCGATCTACATCACCAGACAAGATGAGTCTGAGAATCGCCAAAGCTCCGCCATTCACCTTGATCATTCGCCGAAGTTAGCGCGCAGGGTTACTGCGGCAGTTCCGCACTGAAAATTGGCGCGGAGATTCATCTGGCGCGCGGGCCCGTCACTGCACTCCGCGCTCCGCTGATGTTAAATCCCTATGCGCATGCCGTGGGCAGAATGTTTTTCACGCGTTCCAGGGTTGAAATAGCCGACGTAAAAGTGGTGCGAAGCGAGAGAACACCCTGGTTAATGCCGTTTTCCAGCCGTTTTTGGCAAACCCCAGCGCTTGGACTCCAGACTCTAAATCCGGAGACATCTGCCCATAAACCACAGATTTAAGCGCTGTCCCTCATCTCCCCCCCGCCACTTTCTGCCACCCGCGCGCCGCCTGGCGCAATCCTTCCCCACCCACTGACACCACTTTGGTTTGGCGCTGGTGGCGGGACGTCACCCTCCAGCCAGCACCACCCCCCAACCCAGCGAGAGCCACCACTTTGGGTTGACCCTGGTCACACCCTCGAGTCAGCAGCACCACCTCCATCCGCATCCAGCCAGAATCAGGCACCTCTCCCGACCGAGTGACTATCCCACATTCCTCCCAGACCAAGGCCCTTCCACTCGCTTTCTCCCGCACTCATCATGCCAACTTCCAACTCCAGGCCGCCATGAATTCCATGAACTATGTGGGGTAATTCCTACTCCAGGCCGCTATGGCTCCCGCCTACATGGAGTAATTCCTTTCGTTACACAACGGCACTGATAGTGTTTGTCACGGTGGTTTAGTTCGACATGTAATGGAGTTCCCTTTCGCTGTTATTCAGCCTGAACAGCTCGACGGTTAGATTCACCCTGGAGGCTCATATCTCAGTATTCTGTCAATAGCGTTTGGATCCCTACGGATCTTACGCCACTACTTCAGCCTTAATCGTCAACATCTTTTAGTGAACTGTTAGGGTTAGCAATGGACGGCTTTTGTCAGTCAATGATGTTGGCAGAATCCGCGACGGCAGCTACCTTCGTGGCATCATCAGCAGCTCGGGTGTCGCGCGGGGTGTTTCTGCTTCAACCGAGCGACGACGGACAGGCGACGACGGACAAGCCACGACGGTCAAGCGACGACGGACGAGCGACAGCTCGTGAAGCAATGCTCCCAACGACTTTTTGATTTAATTCCGGGATGCTCCGTACGGCTTCATCCCTACGGCTTCATCATCGACACATCCTGATGCTCTTCTGGTTGGAGCCTCAGCTATGGATTTCCGGCCGTATTCTTCGTCGCATCATAGACAAACTATATCACGGAGATTTCACGGATCCGTCTTCTTATTCGTGTCATGTGATGAAGCGGGCGAGCGACGAGCTGTTAGCAGCGACGTTAGCAGCGACGAGCTGCTAACGAAAGGCGACTTTGCTGACGAGGAGGGGAACGAGCGGAGAATCGACGAGCGGAATCAGAGAGCGTGCGTGCGGAATCAGAGACCCTCTGCGCGACGGCGACTTGCTGCGTGCGACCGTGTGCGGAACGGCGACTTGCTGCGTGCGACCGTGTGCGGAACGGCGACTTGCTACATGCGACCTGTGCGGAACGACGACTTGCTGCGTGCGACCGTGTGCGGAACGGCGACTTGCTGCGTGCGACCGTGTGCGAAACGGCGACTTGCTGCGTGCGACCCTGTGCGGAACGGCGACTTGCTTCGTGCGACCGTGCGCGCGACGACGACTTGCTGCGTGCGACCGTGCGCGCGACGACGACTTGCTTCGTGCGACCGTGCGCGCGACGACGACTTGCTGCGTGCGACCGTGCGCGCGACGACGACTTGCTGCGTGCGACCGTGCGCGCGACGACGACTTGCTGCGTGCGACCGTGTGCAAAAAGGACGGCGACGACGCTGCTGGCGAGGAGGCGCAGCTGATGCACGGACGGCGTCCATCAAAGCTCGTGAATTACTTTACGAGGCATTCCTCCATGGTAAGTTGAGGCAATGTCTCATCACTTTGCATGTTGAAATCTTGAGTGATGTTTCTTCACTTTCTTCTATTTTGTTTGCATTCAGTGAATGTTC